AGGGTAAAGGGCCTGAACTTATTCAGCCTCTACAAGAGAAGGCTGAGAGGGGATCTGGTGGCCATTTACAAACTCACCAGGGGGGACCAATGAGAATTGGGGGAGGCACTGTTTCCCCAGGTATCACCCGGGGTTACTAGGAATAACGGCCACAAGTTGTTAGAGAGAAGGTTCAGGCTGGATATCAGGAGACATTACAGTTAGGGTTGCCAGGCACTGGACTGGGCTTCCAAGTGAGGTGGTACTCTCTCCTACCTTGAGGGTCTTGAAGAGGAGGCTGGACAGATATTTGGCTGGGTTGATATGACCGTGGCTCTCATTCCTGCCCAGGGCAGGGGGTTGGACCTGATGATCTGTTTAGGTCCCTTCCAACCCTAAGCACTATGAAACTATGAAAAAAGTGAAACTATGCTATGTTTGTGCAGCAGTTAGAAATGCAATTTTTTATTTATCTATTAAATGCTACACACACATATATGTAGAGAAACAGTAAATAAAATAGTAAATAGGAAAGGAGGGCTATATTATTTCCTACTGAATAGAGTATTAGACTGGAGTGGTGTTAAATTCCTGACTCTGCTACTGGCTTGGTAATTAGGAGCAAGTCATTTCACTTTTCTGTGACTTAATTTCTATCTGTAAAATGGGGATAGTAGTACAGGCTTTCTTTGAAAGCAGTGCAGAATCTACTGATAAAACACTATATGAGAGTTGGGTATTATTATAATCCCACTTTGTTTATTATTTGGAAGTGCACATAAGAGAGATCCTGTGCCTGAACATATGAGCTATTGAAATTGCTTTTAGGGTTAAAGAGAATTAAGTTGGGGTTTTTTGGTAATTTCTTTTATTAGACCAACTGTATAGTTAGGAGACAGACTAGACAAGATTTCAGGCAAGATGCCCTTTTCAGGTATGGAAAAGAAACAAATCATGCTAAATACCACATACAACAATGTCATGTTTAACTCCATTATGTATATGGAAATAGTCATTTAAAGAAGTGGAAGAGGGCTGTAAATCTTTGGGGCAAAGAAATTATCAAAAGTAGATACAAAACCAGGGCAGTAGAAATGGCTATATCTAATTATGTAAAAGGATAAGACCATTCAAAAGGGTAGAAGTTCATTTATTACTCATAGACTACAGGGAGGTTAGCAGAGGAAACAGGTAAATTGGTAATGAGCCATAAAACTATTGTCTCTGTTTAGTCCATGGTCTTAGAGTCCAGTAAAGTTATGAATGTTTGTTTTCAGGTCCATCTTCTGGAGGTATGCATATGCACCCCCATCTATCTAAGGTCTACTGTGGCAATGTGGTCTAGGTGGGCAGAACTTTGCATCTAAATCAGTGTGTGCTCATAAAGAGCTTCCCACTGGAGTAGACTTTTAGGCTGTAGTCCTGCAAAGTATATTAATGCCTATCTACACGCATCTCCAGTGTTGTCTCCTCTCATTCACCTTGAATAAATATCCTATTTAAGCATTGTCTGCATGTTTTGAAGCAGGGTTGGGAAGGAGTGGAGCAGGGACAGTGTCATTATCTGTAGCACAATCTGGTCTGCATCTGGATTTTGCTTTGAATTACAGGCATGAGATAATACAACTGGAAGTTCCCATGTCTAATTAGTTCCTTCTGGACTTGTTCCAAAGCTGGTCCTAAAGTCACAGATAGACCCAGGCAATAGTAGTGTGACTGCTGTGGGACATAGAATACCAGAAGTTTCCCTTAAAGTATGGCTTTAGGGCCTTTGTGAAGGGGAACTGCCATACCTGCAGACCTGAGGGCTTGACTTAAAGGTTTAAGCCTTGAGTCTCCACTCCCATACCAGAACCCTTTAACTGGAGTGCAGCAGTGCTTCTAACATGTTGGCTGGCTTGTCATGGGGTACTGTCTACTGTTTATATTAGAATCATAGAAAATGAGGGCTGGAAGGGACCCCAGGAGATCAGCTAGTCCAGTGGTTCTCAATCTTTTTTTGTACCAGGACCCATTTTGTAAACATTGGCCGGTCCCACCCCAGTGTTCTTCACTCTTGACCCGCTGCCCCCTGCCCCTAGGCAATTATTTTGGGCGGAGGGCCGCTTACTGTGTTTTGGCAAGCCACGGAGGGCCGCATGATAGGTAGCTGGGGCAGATAAATATTAATTTTCTAATTTTTTTAGGGTCCCTGTAGGCTGGATAGAATGGCCTGGCGGGCCACATCTTCCCACCCCTGCCCTAGGCCCAAGCCCCCAGTGTGTGGGGCAGGATGATGTGGGGCAGGGGGAGGGTTGTAGAGCATGGGGTCTGGTTATTTCCAAGAGCCCCTTGCAAGCTGGAACTCTGCCAACCTGCAAGGAAAAAAAGTTTCCTACATTTTTTTTTTTCCTTTAAGGGAGAATCTATTTTTAAAGTTTATGGATCCATTTTTAAAGTTTGTCTGCAACCCTTTAATATATTCTTGCAACCTACTATTGGGTTGCAACCCACAGATTGAGAAATGCTGATCTAGTCCACCACCCTGCCCAAAGCAAGATCATCCCCAACTAGCTCATCCCAGCCAAGGCTTTGTCTGCCCGGGTCTTAAACTTCTAAGGATAGAGATTGCACAGCTTGTCTGGGTAGCCTGTTCCAATGGTTTACTACCCTCCTACCGAGAATGTTGGCTCAACCAGTCACTGCTACTACAATTGCTCTCTGCAGTTCATATGGTGCTTTTGCTATGTGGCGACTCTCACTAGAGCTAGGCTAAACGGAGTGGAATTAACTTCATGGCAGAGTTAGCTCAAGTTTATCTACTGTGACAAGACTTGGTGTTAGAGGTTGAGTTAGGATCGCAGCTTTTATAATCCACAGCTGTCCTAATTCTTCCCGCCATCCTGGAGAATACAAAGAAAAACTTATTTGTGGAGAACTTCAGATGCTGCTTCTGTGGAAGAGGTGATAATAAGCCCCCAAGAATCTATCTGTAAAGCCCATAGTGATGTTGTGTTTAACATACCTCATTTATTTTATTTCACACCCCTCTGATAAGCTTCAATAATATTATTTATTTGAGAATATTGTTTAGCTGTAAAGTTGATAATTCCCCGGTGAAGATAATGCTGAATATGGAATAGGGATAAGCTGTCTGATATTTCTTTAAAAAAACAAAACAAGTTATAAAACTGTTCCTGGCTGTAAATTTTATCTGTTTTTCTTTTGTCTCTCCATGCAAAACAGGAGCAGCTATGCCACAGCATATACCTGACAGAAGCACTTTGAAATTTATTCTCACCTGGTGTTTGGAAATAAGAGCAGTTCCCAAAAAGGTTGGCATATCTCACTTTTTTGTTTCTTAGAAAATGTCTTGGTAGTTTTTAACATAACCAAATTGTACAGCTGCAGATCAGTTCTTGTCTATTTTCTAACAACTGTCATATTTCTTGGTGTAAAAACCCTGATCAGTTAGTAATTATACCTTTATTATGTAAAAATCTAGAACCATTGGTTCAGAGATGATGCCTTTTATTAGACCAACTGAGAAAATGCAAAAAAATACTTTGTTTCTGCATGCTTTTGGGCTCCCATGCCCTTCATCAGGTTCAGGGAAAGTTCAAGATGGCAAAAAGTCCCCATATGTAGGAAATAAGCTTCATTTTTTCACAGAGGAAGCTGAAGCTGGACATCTGTCCCTCTGGGTCCATGAGAGTGTCTTTGTGAGGTGCTCTTTGTTGTACAGACACTCTCATGGACCCAGAGGGACAGATGTCCAGTTTCAGCTTCCTCTGTGAAAAAATGAAGCTTGTTTCCTACATATGGGGACTTTTTGCTATCTTGAATTTTCCATGAGCCTAATGAAGGGCGTGGGAGCCCAAAAGCATGCAGAAAAAAATATTTTTTGTATTTTCTCAGTTGGTCTAATAGAAGGCATCATCTTTGAACCAAGAGTTCTAGATTTTGGCATTTCTTTTTGTCTCAGACCAACACGGCTACCAAATACACCCCTCCACCTTTACGCATTTTTTTTTTTAAGGAAAGTTCCCCTGCTTAGCATAGTCACTTTTACCATGGGATTTACATGAGACAAATGCAGGCTAGTTTCTGACGTTATTACTCACATTCACCAGTACCTTACTTGTTGAGTGTTCCATTGGAATAATAGAATGAAGTCATGGAATATAATTGCATCTCTTTTTAGGGGTGTGACAGGAACAGGCTCTGCATATGTCATAGAAGCCAACCTTCTAGCACAAGATATCCTTTGCTTGTTATGGCATCTCCAGTGCTGAGGGGTTGCACTGTTCATACAACACAGTACAACGTACATCTTTTTTTAATTTTAGTAATCATTGTTCTTTCACTTTTGTCATAACCTTGAAAAATGCAGATTTTGCAGCTGAGCCAGGGCAGTTGGGATATCTGATTTTTCACAACCAGTGAAAGCGACTTTCCTCCTACTGGGTGCATGAAAATATCTGGAAGTTTTGTCTGTTGCAGCAGAATTATGCGTAGGAGGATATTAAATGAAATCAGGTTTTGAAAGTGTGGTAGAGTAGTGTTTGGTAGAGGATCCACTAGATGTCATTATTATACAACATCCCACAGAAAGGGAACCTTTCAATTGACATAACCTTTAAAAACTGCATTTAACAGTTTTTCAAAATATGTCTCAACAATGATAGTAAGTAGAGCAGTGGTTAGGGAATACCACCCAAGACAGTTTTTATAACCCATCTGTTTTATAGCTTATTCAATATACAACATGCTCTTTGTAACTTTATAGGCAAAACTGCTATATTATCTGGAGGTTTGGCAACAGGATGTAATTTAAGTAAACTCAAAGTAGTCTTTGTGAAGAATACAGTCTCTGATTACATTTTGATGTTTTGGGTCACCTGTTTCTTTTTATGTACTATGTGTATTTTTAACATGGTTATACTGTTACAGTCTCAAAACTATTTTAAATGCAATTTCCATGGTATCATTCAATATACTATTTATTTTCCCTTAAGAAAAGCTCAGTGATAGTAAGTGGGCACACAAAATAAACTACCAGAAGTGTATTTACACTGTTTAGTGAATACTATGCATAATACTGCATGTACTACCACTCAGAGGTGTGTGCATGGTGTCTTCTGTCTCTGCTTCTGTAATTCAGCAGCAGTGCTTTACCTCTGCTTGTGTGTATGTTTATGGTGTTTGCTAACAAGTGCAACCTATGGGCAAGAGATTAAACCTTAAATCCACCAACAAGCCGGTTTTTAAGACATTTTAGATTATTTGCTATTTACTCCCCCTACTCCTCCTACAACTGGACCAGACTGGATTTTGTGACCTACCAGATTGTCCCATACACTGGGGGAGGTAGCCGATAAATTGAAATAAACTTACCTTTTCACAGGAAGTGAAAATGTGTGTCGGGTTATAAATTGCCTATCTATCCATTAACCTACAGGGTGCCCCTGCAGGCAATCCAAAGTGTTCCCAGACAGTTCAGCACACCTCCCCACAAAACCTAATGAAAACACAAACAGATTTATCCAAATTAAACTACCTCTCTCTCCCCAACAGGCATTTTTACGGGCCCTTGTAGAGTACACCAGCAATACAGGAGAAAAACGAAGGCTTCAGGAGCTTTGCAGCAAACAAGGAGCTTCTGACTATAATCGCTTTATCAGAGAGCAAGATGTCTGCTTGTTGGATTTACTTCATACCTTTCCAACTTGCAAACCTCCATTTAACCTCTTAATAGGTAAGTGGGTGATCTCAGCTTAATTGAGTTTGATTTCTGGAAAATGCAGCGGCATAAATGTTATTTGAGAGAAAGGAGGAAACTGTTTGAGTTATAGGTATTTATATTACTGAAGAATCAGTGGTGATCAAACTAGAGTTAAAATTGGGGAGCGGAGTTTCAGTTAAATAGTTTTTGGTCCCAGATACTGTAGATCTTTAGGCAGATGCTTAATATTATACATAAATATTTTACCCTTTGACTTCGGCTCACTCCCGTACAAAACACTAAGCACTAGGTGCATGCAGGATCTGGACCTTTGTGATTAAACTGGTTTCACAGTAGGTAAAATTATAGAAGGCCTGTTTTCCATTTGCGTGTTTTCTACTTCTTTTTACGGCCTTACTTTTATATTTGCCTCTTTCCAGTGCAGCTGTTGGAAAAATATGATTTTTCAAGCAAATTGTTTCAAAATATAAGATTATTTTCTTTAAAAAGCACTCCATTAGGGATGTGGAGAGGAAAGCACGTTTGCCAAATGTAGAAAAACTACAATAGATGGAGAAAAGAATCTAAGATGAAAGCAGTTAGTATTTTTTTTTTTTTTTTTTTGGGAGATTTTTTTTAA